ATCTCAACACATACACACACACACACACACACACACACACACACACACACACACACACACACACACACACATATTCCCACACACACACACATATTCCCACCCCTCCTCAGCCTGTATTGAGATGATAGCCTTGTCTTCCTGCCCCAAAGGGGCTTCCTTCCTCAGAGGGGCCTGAGAGGATTAGGGAGAGGATGGCAACCCTAGCTTGGATAGCCTAGATGGGAACCATCTTCCCCACCCCCACACTGGGCCTCAAAGCCCTGAGGTTCTGTGGTACTGGATACAGTGTAGGGCTGAATGGGGAAAGGAAGGAGAAAGGAAAGGAAGAAAAAGGGAGCCCACTCTTTGGTGAACGTGCACCATAGGGCAGGTACCAGACTTCGGGAAAGGCCTCAGATCCCATCAGCAGATCCTGTTCCTATATCATGTGAGACAACTGAATCAGTCACAGGAGCTGACATGGGATGTGCACATACTAAGTAAGCACCGGGAGGGCAGAGTGAGGCAGGGCACAAGCTAAAAGCAACAAGGTACCCAAAGACAGAGGGCAAGGCAAGTTCTTGCCAGCCTGGGATGCTGTGTCCTAGTCCCAGCCTTTGGGACAACAGAGGAACTCAGTGATGAAGAGGGCCACACAAATTTCAGTAACTGAGCACTTCCCGGGTCCCAGTGTGGGGGTGAGCAGTCTCCCCAGCCTGTATGCTCAGTTCTTCATCACCCTCCCCAGCTCCTGATGACGGCAGCCTCCAGCCACTCCTCTAGCATGTGCAGGGCAGCTCAGGCAGACGGTGGCTTAAGAAGAGAAGTCAGGTATACTCTATGTCCGCATATACCTTCCTGCCATAGGGCTTCACCAAACGGCAGGATCCCCCAGCCCTTGGTTCCTCTCACCTCTTGATCCCTCGCAGGGTCAGTGAGAGGGTGGGCAAAGATGGCTTGCAGGGGGTGGGCGTATTAAGATGGGAAGACCACACCAGACCCTTGAAGAATGGCACCTTTCTCCACATTGTGAGACAAACCTCCTTGAGGTCAAAGGTCTTTAAGGTCAGACACAGATCTAAGCTGTGGCTATGAGTGGATGTTCACCTCCTTGCCCTGGGGTTGGGGAGACACTCAGGCTGAGGACAAGTGTGTGCCAGACAAGGCCAACTCTGTTTACAACAGTCTGAAGCAAACTTGGCCTTGGGTTCCGAGGGAAGAGCAGGGTGGGCCTGGTGAGACGACAGCAAGCAGAACAAGGACAGTGGCAGCAGTGTGCAGACACAGGACATCAGCTTGAGACGATGAAACAGCAGGGTGTCCTGGGCACAGCTCTGATCGAGCTGCCCCCAACTCTCTTGCCTCCAGGCAGGAGGCCCTGTACATGCAACTCAGTCCCGAGGAAAATTCTAGTTAGTCCAAACCCAGGGTCATCCCAGGCAGGTGGAGCTCTTCTGAGGCTTGAGGAGGAAAACAGGCATTTGGGCATTAGTTCAGGTTCCCGCTCCACAATAAGGCAACTTTTAAAAAAATATTATTTCCAAAAACAGAACAGAAGAAAAATTCCAAGGAGGGGGAAAGACATCACTTTCTATGGATTAGGTGGGTTCTGATTTTTTTTTTGACATTTTTTTAGTGGTCGATTTTGTCTTTTTTTCCTTTTTTTGTTTTTGTTTTTTTTTTTGTTTGTTTTTGTTTTTTTTCTGTTTTCTCAAGGATGGAAAGGTCAGAGGAAAAAAAAATAAAATGAATCATCTTCCAATAGTCTCTTCTGGTGTGAGCAGCATCTCTGGGCTGGGGAGAGGGGGGAGGGCAGGGGA